TTATTGTGAGTGTGACTGGAACATTCTGTTTTATTGGCAGTGCCCAAACCTTTTCCGTTTTGAACGTTAACGATGCTCTCTTTGATTTTCAGAATATATTGAATGATACCGTTTTACAGTGTGTTTCATTCAAATCTGGAAAACTACGGAAACTACTACTTTTCCTCTTAGATGGCAACGGGATGTTGCTTTTCGACAATGGAAAAAACAACATTCCCTTCATCCCTTCCCAAATTCAAACATTACCGCATCAAAAAAACAAACAAGTTAGTCTCAAGTTCATTTTGAGAGTTTCTCTAAATATTTCAAAACGACTCAAACGTTTTAGAGTGGAATAAACAAAGTTCACGAGCGGGATAATGACTTATCAGCGACAGTCCTGTAGGGTAAAGATAGTACTTCTCCAGACAGTTATAAAGCAGGACTTTTCAACGATATTTTTTATAGTGTTTTGTTCCGCAAGGTAGTGCCTGTCTAATGTCTTCTTTCACTTAATTTAATTCTATCTTCAAAATTATTCCTCCCAATAATGATAAAATTCTTGAAGCGATTTGCACTCTGAGGAATGAGCATGTTTCTGATGTTATTCTTGCATGTCGTCGTCGTCTGGACTTATGCAACTTATTTAAACAGGTACCATATCCACTTAAACTATTAATATATCAGTCCTGCATCCTTAGTAAGTTAGGCTACGCCTTCGTAGTTTATGCTAGCGTCTACTATGAAACAACAACTAAACATAGTCACCAAACTAGGTGCTCGTTTAATCTATAAAAAGTTTGATGGTTTATTAGTGAGTTGATGCAATAATTAAATCTTCCTGACCTAGATAAGCGGAGAAAATTTTTTCGGCTTTTACATTTCTATAAAATTATCACAAGTAGGTCTCCTCTTTCAAACTTTGGTTTTATTCAACCTTTGGTGCATCGTCACTCAAGACGATTGAATCATTCTAGAGCTGTCCTATGTGAGACAGCCACTAAGGCTCATATCGCTTCTTCTTTTTTCTTTCTAACGGCATAGAGTGAAACGATCTACCTGAAGAGGTAGTCTCTACTACTAGTCTTAGACAATTTAAACAAACACTTCAAGAATAGCTAGAAGTGTAGAGATTCCTTGTTGTTGTTTGTTTCTTTAAAATGATACGTGTGTTTATTGTTGTTTTTTCTCTTTTCTTTTTGGTGGTAGAGTTTATAAGCGTTTTTAAAACCTTTTTCTACTTAATTACCCAGGCATGGAACAAGATTTCTGTTTTGTTCTGTTTCTACAGAAATAAATATCAAATCAAATCAATGAAGTGTAAATAGACCGTTTTGTCGACAAGTCATTCATCTTTTTCATTTTGTTATTACTAATCTATATATATAAAGAAGAAAGTTTGTTTGTATGTTTGTTTGTTTGTTCTCTATGCATTCAGTCCCTGTAAGAGCTAAAGCAGCTAAAATTTGCATGGCACACCCTTGGGTCTAGGGGAAGGTCAAGAGGGGGTCGGAGAGACCGAAGGAGGGGGGGGGGGGGGGTTACCCCCCCTGTTTAAAAAAATTGGTTAAAAATTTTGGGGTTTTTTTTNGCCCGCCCCGCCCGAGTTCCCACCCAGTTTTCAAAAAATGGTTGAAAGATTTTCGGATTTTTATGTTCTCCGATTTCTGAGGTACTTGCATCTTGCTTTTATATCTTCCCACTGCCCTTGGTCAAGGACTACTTTTCAATATAAAACTTTTATCTCTGGGATACTTAGTAATCTGATCGTTGGACCGCTACAGTGAGTCTCATCGGAGAAGTCTGAAGTGGAATTGTTTTCTCGATAACTCAGCGAGGGTGTTTCGACAGCGGAGGGATGGAGAGGAAAAATGGAGTGGAGGAGTGTTATTCCCCCCCTCAAAACCTTTTCAGAGGCCTTCCTCTCACCTAGAGGAAGGTGGACGACCCGTTTAGTCGAAAAAATATCGATCCTCCCGCCAAAAATATCCTCCTACTTTTTCGAAAATACGTCCCACGGAACGATCCAAGGAGTGCATTACCCAGGTGGAACGATATGGCTCCGTAGAGTGGATGCAATGATAGCTACGTTATGATATATCTCTACGAAGAAGAATGTTTGTCTGTCTGTACGCTATACATTCAGTTCCTGCGATAGCTAAGGTCACCGAACTCTCCACATTAGTTGCTTAGGTTTCAAGGAAAGTTGAAAGAGGGTCGACATGGTCATCGGGAACGGGTAATAGGGGCCTAGGTGAAATTTCACACAGGTCATCCGACACGGCGACTTTTCCCAATTCTTCATCAAATGACAAAACTTGCTGTGAATTCGAGACTGAACCTCTCCTACTGCCACTTAACCTTATCAAACGTAGGTGCGGCACAAAGGGGCGATGGGTACTGTAGCTCTGTTACGACCAGCGTCACTGAGTCTCAACACAGTTCTATTTAATATACTAGAAGGTCGAGGCAGATCCATGCGACTACTTGCTTTAAGTAGCATTTCACATAGACTTAACCACAATAAATGTGCGTCGCTTTGTCAGACAGCTGGAAGTGTAAGGTACGATCGTAAGCCTACTACTGCTACTTTTTTACAATTAATGCAGAGGTGTGTGATAGAAATGGTGATAGGTAGAAAGAACCAAAGCAGATTTACACGCTGTAAACTAAATTCTCACATCATATAGTCGGTGTGGCTAAGCATCTCAATTTGTGCACGGCGGGGAAGGTCCTGTTAAAGATGGAAAAGTTCAAGGCAACTCACTCTACATCGGGTACCTCCGCTAGTATTATATATGTATGACACTTCATACATACCATTTCTGGCAGAAAGCACTGGTAGCTCTTTAAGTTTTCGGTTTCCATCGGATAAAAGCACAACAGTTGAATTTTACCGTGTCTCTGAACAGACCAGAATATGGATTTGAGTCCAAAAAACGCTAGAACCGCAGCATTATATTGATCAATCAGTGTCGAATGACTGTAGGTCGGACAATTAGAATTCGGAAGATACATGTATTCATACATTGTCTGGAAGACTATGACTTTCCTTCCCATTCAATAGGCTGAATTTCGGCCGTTACTTGCATTTCATTGCTTCTCATTATTCATCTATTTTGTTAGGTTCCCAAGTGAACGAAGATCTTTGATACCTAACGTTTATTTGAGAAAACTTTAGACAAGAATAGCACACACTTTATTTTACCAAACACGCACATATATATACTAATCTGTTACATCCTTTCTAGAAAAGAAGGCTGATATAACATTTCTTTGCATCATCTTAGAATTGTTCGATGTCTTGTCGACTTCGACTAATGTACTGTCGTTACGTCATCATCCAGGTTCATGTCCTTGCACCATTTTAGAACCGTTTCATCTCGTTGACTTAGTCTGATGCAGTGATGATGCAATATCGTAGCATCATCTTCCAGGGTCTATTTAGGTCTCCAGACCTAACATATGTTTTCTTCATTTTTCTTGTAAAAGACAACAATAATCAAAGTTTAAATTAAAAAAAGTCTTTTTTAAACATAAATATTTCAAAACAATGATCAAACGTTATTTACGGGTTTTTAGCAAGATCTAGATTAGAAAATATGCAAACCATCTTTTATATCTATGATACAAGTAAAGCCATCTGCTATTAAGCGAAGAGCATTCAAATGCCAGTCCTAAATATTCATAGCGTTTACAAAAAAAAATGTACACAGTCGTTGTTTGATGGTATCGCCAATTGTTGATGACAAGGAACTTGATAATCTTGAGTCCTTCAGAAAAGGCAGTAGGGTTTGCGGTTATTGTAACAGAAATTATAAACTTTTATTTTCACAATAAAAGTTGTATACGGGAGTAATAAATCTGTGTTGTTTGTATTTTTTCAGTTATCGTGAAAACGACAAGTATGTCGGCAAGAAGTTTTCTCATATTTTTTCTCAAACATCTGTCCATAGGAGAAAGTAGTATCTTAGCCAAGTAATATGGAGGGTATTCAGCTGTTGTATAAACTCATAATTCTTCCATAACGATAAAAAAAGAAACATGAAGACAAGCAAAAAGGATTCATATATTTCACTATTTAAAGCTGGTCTGTTCTGTTGTGTGACTTTATTATCGCGATCTAATTTGAAAGATAATGCTTGGACAGAAAAAAGTGAATTAAAAAGTTCTTTAGAAGAGACTACCATGATTTTTCTTTTCGATATATGGTAGACCAAGTTTGTCTACTAACTGCCTATAAGACGTTTGACAGTGGTTGAACGCTAACTGATTATTTGTAAATATTATTAAAGACTTCCTTTAAATGTTCTAAAAAGAACTGATATTGGATAACTAAGTATTACTGACGAAACTGCTGTCAGATTTTGAAAAGCATATACGATGCTGTTGCTGTTGTTTTGCAGCTGTACGCTATTTATAATTACCATCAACCAATTCCAATTTTCTTTCGATAAAGTTTTATAAATAACAAATTCTCAATGTTAATCAGTAGGGAACTAAAGTTCTTACGGTCTGTTTTTATTACTTTTAGTATAGGGAGATGATGATAAACCCATTATTTACCTATGTACGACCTTGACGATTTTGGACTTTCATCTTTAATTCTGTTTTTTTATACTGTGTAAAAATCATAAAACATTCTATTATCAAAGAAGCAAAAACATAAAACGGAACAGACCAAAATGCTTTTACAGTACACAAGAAGAAGAAAACCTAGATATGACCTAGATCGATTGTCGAAAGTTGACGCGGTTCCAGTTTCTTGAATTTCGTTGAACAAACAAAACGACAGAAAAAAAGAATTCAAATAATATATATTTTCACTTTAATCTGACAAAAGAAAAAATACAAATAGATAAGCAAATCACCAGTAATTTCTGTAAGAAAAATGAAATAAGACAATAATTTAAACAAGTTTTTGATTTAATTTTCACGCAAAAAATAGAACAAAAATAGCCTCTGTACCTAACAACGACGAAAACGTAAAGCCACATAACAAAAAAAGAAATTTTCTATTTTCAAATAATTTTTTCATAATTATTTAAAACTTTAATTACTGCTGGTACTTTTGTTGACAATATTTTGTAGATCAAATAAGCAGATAACGAGCATGTTGCCCCAAGAAGAACATCTAAAACGTAATGATGTCTACTATAAACGGCTGAAAACCATATACCTAATGTGAATAACACAAAAAATATTTGTAACCATAATTTTTTACTTAAATTTCCATAGAGTACACATAATAATGGATAGGCTGCATGTAATGATGGTATGGCAGCAAACACATTGGCATTCTTTGCATACATGCTCGAAAATATTTTAAAACCTGTGATTTGTTCGAAATAGGTGAAACCAGCTGGATTTCCGCTAATATCTGTTTTTATTTCAAAACCATATAATTCAATATACCATGGAGGTCTAAAAATAAAAGAATAATAAGAGTACTTTTAGACATTTTAATAATACTACTAAGTAATAAACAAATCAGTACACTTCGGGCCGTGTGGGTCGACTCAAAATCACTCATCTTAATAATTTTACTTGTATTGCGGGCGATTTGATGCGAGACCAAGAAATCATACTATCAGTTAATAATTATCCGTTTCACTCAACGATTTAATGATTGTCTATCTTCTAGCAATTATCACATATCCTCAACTTTGTCAGCGATCCGTACACACTCTCTAACTATCTACCAAATGTTAGAATGGAATAAAAGATGATAGAATCAACTTCGTTATTGACAATAAAGACTACTTACGCTGTTGGTACAATATAATAGATAATAAATCCAATGATATTCGTTAATAGAAATGTTAACGCAAAATCTAAATAATCACGTTTACGTTTATAACGATATAAATAAAAACTGTACAACAGAGGTATTGGTATCCAATTAAGGTATAGAACACCTGTCAATACATCTAATACACCGATATGATGATTATAAAAATATTCATTGAATGTCACTAATCGTTTATTACTATAAATACCAAATAATTTTTTTTCAATATTGTAAACATCTTCTGTATGGATATTTGATATTAAATAATTTGGTACAACTCTCATTGAATCATACACTAGTACATAGATCAAATAGATAAATAATGCTAAAACGAATCGACGCGTTTTGTCATTGAAAAAATATAGTATGATTGTCACAAAGTAAACAATAATGTGCAAAACCATAATACCAACAACAAAGATGAACCATGTAAAATAAAATATACTAAGTACTGGTATCCAAATAGCATGTTCTTTTACAAAACGCTGAAATAGTGGAGCCGGTGTTGATGGCGATGTTGGTAATAACGAAGTTACATCGGCTGCACTGTCTGTCGATGAGATAGATGGTGTTGATCGAGTTCGTTCGGGAAGAGTAACAATAGTATCACTATTGTTAGTGTTATATGGTATAAAACGTGTATGGTTATCATATCCATCTGGTGAATCTACTGTGTGAATATCCGACTTTGATACTTGATGATAAGACGAATCGTCTCCATGATTTCCAGATGTTGTTATATAACCATTTTGTTGTTGTTGTTGGTGATAATATGGTGAAGCCGTTGTATATTGAGTGTGATGTGTTTTACCAAGAAATGGTAATGTCAACGATGATAATACAGATTTAGACCACGTTTTGATTGTTTCTGAAGATCTTTTATCATCATCGGAATGTGGAAGGCGACCATCTGCTGGTGATCCTGCAATTGAATGACCGTTGTGAGTATTAGTGTTCGATGATGTTGATGCCACCTGTTGACCTATAACATATGAGAAAAAAAACAATATTTAATTACTATTTATTTTGTAGAAATAAAAAACTATCAGTTAATTTACTAAACACTTTGCATAGATTCCTGCTGTGAATGTGATTTTAAGCACAAACAAACAAAAGCGTTGTAATTGATATCACTCACTAACAATTTCGATCTATAATCCTCTTATAATACAATTTGGCTAGTAAATCTACCGCATAGCTTCCTTTTTGTCATGAATAATTGAAGAAAACTTTTCATCCACATAACATTTCCACGTTTTTATTGTTAATTTCTACAGCTTACTATAGAAGACCGAATAAAAACACAAAGCTGTGTACAACGTAACTGTTACACACTTTCAATAAACACTAAATAAATAATTTTAATCTTATGTGATGTTTCACACTGACACGTAGAAGATGAGTAAACTTGTCTATAATAATTGAACGGTTACTTAGTGCTTCTTTCATGATTAGACTATTTCTTTTTCAACAATAAATTTTTCGAGCAGAAATCAATTATAATTTGGAAATATGCATAAATATCAACAAAATACAAATACACAATCATGTGCTCAATTAAATCGCTGTATCAGTAGCAACTAATGATTTATGCAAATGTTTATCATTCAAAATATCAAGAACATAACTACATTTAAGATTTTTAAATACTTTAATAATTAATATTTCTTCGAAAGTATTAATTAGTATTAGAATCTTTTTACTCTCAACATAGGGTCTTTTCAATATCTTTCTTTTTTTTTCAAGTGACAGTCATCAAGTACTCTTTATCCCCTTTTTTTCAGGTTTATTGACATTATTCTATCTTTTATCTCATTGAAAAGGAAAGGTAACTTGAAAAGGCGAAAATATCTATGATAACAAGACAAAACTTGTTGAGTTATGACATAACTCATTGTGCATTTTCGAAGCGAGTTGTTCAATGTTTTTATTTTATTAAATCAGAAAAAGTCAGTTTACAATTTTCGATTATATTAGTTTAAGCCGTTTCTTTAAATCAGACCAAATAAAATCTCATAGCTGCAGGAAAGAAGTAGAGCAACTAAAATAATCAGTAAAATGACAAATCCTCCTCCTAATTCAAAAATTTCACAATTTATACAATAAGCCCATTTTTGCTTCTTTGAATTCTGTTTCTTTAAAAGAATCAATAGAAACTAGGATAATCCATCCACAAAAAAAAAATTCAGATATAAATGGATTTAACTAATAGTCTTGACGTACAAAACAATTGTTATGACATTTTACCATAAAAAAAATACTTTAATAATATTTTTCCTTCTCAATTAGCGTATGTGACTAATTCACTATCTATTGATTGTAGATATTTCAATGATAAATGTCATATTGATATAACTTGTTTTAAATGTTTAAATAAATTAAATAAATGTTGGTTTAAATAAATCTCTTCAGTCTTTTGTTTTATATTATTCAATTGAAGATATGAAAAAACAATCAAAAATTCATCAAAAAAGTAGACTATAATAATATCCAATTTTTATTTTATTTTTCTAGAAAAATAAACTAAAAAACAGTAATCAAAACAATAGAGAAAATAAATATTCTCCAAAGAATTTCAACCATAATGAATTTCTTTTCACTCTTGTTTGTTCACTATTTATTAGTGTGAAAATGCACAGTCATCATCTGCTACAGTAACAACTACTACCGTCATTAAAATCTTTTATTTTCGTAAAAAATTGTTTTGAATTAGAGTAAGATATTACGAGACTAAAGGGTAAATTATTTAATAATCTGTTTCTACACTTTATTTTCTCTTACCATTTGAGTGGTAATCAAGCAATTGATTATGATTATTAAACGGTGATATTTGTGTCGTATTTGTTTGCGTTTGAATCGAGAGTGTAATCATATTTTTTAGTTTTTCATCATTATTGAAAAATATAATATACGAATTGTAAATACGGTTAGTGAAGAGTGAAAAGCGTTTTAGCAAAGACAACAAAACAAAATAGTTAATAATTTAATTAGTTCATACAGAAAAGGTGAGACTGGTACATACATTTTTTTTTTATTAAAATGGTTTGAGAATAACAATGTAGACAGAAAAGAAAAAAAAAATAGACAGAAGAAAAGTTTTCTAGTGGCTCATATAAGCGTCCTATATTATTTATCTATTGAACGTCAGAAAACATAAAAAAGAGGGTAGTGCTAGTAGTCGTCGTAATCTCAATCGAGGTCGAGATATGTCAAGAACAAGGCTCCACAATCAACGTAATCTTCAGATGTCTTACGCTAATTTTGACGATCTGTCTTTAACTTAACGTAACTATGATAAGAATCTTACATATATATCATCTTTCAAGTTAGACTGTAGTAAATCATTGAGTAGGAAATGAACATTTTATATAGCATAGGAAAAACAGCAAATACCAAATAGATGGCATAGCATAAACAGAACTGAATATTCTCGAACGATCAATATCATCAATTGAGACCGTGTTGTTTTTGAAATCTAAGAAATCTAACACTATAATACCATCTTTCACGGTTATTACCAATACTCAACAACCATAAGAGAACCAATCTTAATTATAAAGTAACGACTTTGCGAAGATTCAAAAATAACATTTCAGTACAATTTAATTTATTCTTTTTATTTTCTTCACCTAGTTCAAATGAAAATATTAAATATATTAGTTTAAAAAAATCAATTGTTTTTCTGTTCTTTTTTGTTATCAAAAACAAAAGAATTCTATACATATACAGACATACACATAAATGTAAAGTAAATAATATTTATAAAATTTCAACGAACAGTCCATTCAACATTCTTTTACTAACAGCTGATGTGCAATATGTCAAAAATAATAGGAGAAAGAAAGATGTAACATAATCGGTGTTTTCATTCGTAAATGAAGAAAAAATATTTATACTACACACTAATTTAGAACACTAACTAAACCTGTGCCTTTAACTATAATATATACTGCTATTAAAAGTTTCGAGAAGATTGATAATAATCTTAGAGAAAAAAGTTAATCATGTTAAAGGTAAAGAAATATTCCAATTTCAAAACACATATTTTTTCAGTCTCCAATTTTAATCTGACTAATCGTAGTCATTCGGTACAACTCATACGTTTTCAATATCGAAAATAATTGAACTTAAGATACATATTTTACGCTTACACAAAAACCAGCTGTTGCCACATAACCTTGATCTTACTCTCTCCAAGTGAATAGTAAACAAACGTATATTCATAATATTTGAGTATAAAGAGAAAACAGAAGAATAATTTGAAATAAAAAGTTGTGCTTTTTCGTATTATGTTATATTAACACTATAGAAATCTATTTAACACTAATTTCTATTGGAAAATATTCGTATGGTCTCATCTGACAGTTTTACTAAATACATCGTGAGTAGGATGTTGAAGTAATTATCAACAATTTTAGTGCAATTTAGGTCATACAGTTGACAAAAGAGATTTTGTAATTAAAATGTTAATAGAGAAAAAAGGATGTATAAGAATAAGAACAAAGTCCACTCTGTTTGTGCTCTATTATGGTCAGCTTGAAGATTTTTGCTAAACATCTGTCGGAATGAAACAAATTAATAATTTAAAGCTGAATTAAAAGAGTCGAAGGATAATTGAGTTAATTGATTATCACTCCGAAATTAATTACAATACACAGGAAATCAAATTGTATTAAGTTTAGCAAATTCCATTGTATTTTACACACGATTTCACTAAGAGAATAACATTTCTATGCTATGCTGCTGATTATGCTGTTTTACTGAGAAATTTTCTGCAAAATGTTTCACTTTTCAACCTACTTTACTTCAAGTATCATGAGGGAATTAGAATAATAATGAACTACTTACCCAGACTAAGAAAAAATGCCGTTAATGGAAAAGCAATTTTAGACCATTTTCTTCCAATATTTACATTTCTTAAATAATGATAATAACGCATAATTATTGTTTAAAGTGAAAATACAATTATAACCAAATTTTAAACGCATTAACCGATTTTTATTGAAAACGTTGGTACTACTACGTATGACATAATAACAATAGATAACGAACGAAAAATTTATTCTTAAACAAATAATGAAAGTAGTTTGAGTAACTCATATAAATAATTCTTAGGTACGCACGTGGTTTGAACAACAACAAATCAAAAAGATGTACGCACGTCTCTCTTTCTCGAATATCTAATTAAATCGTCAGATCTTGATAGACAATGTTCTTCCTCTCCTCTCTGCAAAGCTTAAAGACTGATTCATTTTAGCTCATTGTCTCATTCTCTGTGCATGCTCATACATACATACACACACACACACACACATACACATACATCACACACACACACACAAACATACAGAGAAGACAATATTTATAATTTATTTTTTGGTTATATTCTTTCTTTATTATCTTTAACGCGCTTTATTTCGTTCTCTTTCCGTATATAACTGGCTTTTAAGTTGTGAGATATATAAGATATCTAACAGTGATATATATATAATGCTCGTTCTCTATGCGAAGGGTGAGTACGCGTCACTCATTATTATTTTTTTTCCCACTGTTCTGTTTCCCGAAAATTTTTCTCTTCTACTGTGTTTTTCTTTTTGTCATGGTTTAAATATGTCTGTCTCTATATATAAACGGAGAGAAGAAGAGAGAGAGAGATCGAGAACGAGCAAGAGAGAACAAGTCAAAATATCGTATTTTATCATAGATAAGGTTTCATGTACTTTTTTTTCCTTGTTCTCGATCTTCGTTGGTGGTGTACACAACTTTATCTTCTCTCTATATGTATTATCTTGTCTGTAAAAATTAACCAAGAACATTTTTTTGTAATACATAGACCATACACTCCTTCTTCTTTCCGTTTTTCTTTTTTTTTTGTTGAATGGGGGTCAAATAGATATGATAACTAGATAGATGTGTAAATATTATAAATTTTTTCCTATTAGTTCCTTCTACAGTAAATGAAAACTCACAAGTAATCAATCTATATGGTTATTACTTCTAAGTCTTGAAAAACTTTATTGTAATAATACTCGCAAATTTTCTCATAGATGTTGATAGGGATACTGCTGACACAAGATATCAAGATAGATTTTGGACTTTTAAAGTGTATGTTTCCCACTTGTATAATACAATTTTTCTGTTCCACTAGTCTAGAATCATAAGAAAACAAAGAAACAATTTTACAAATTCTATGACAACAAGTAGTCTTTTCTCGATTCACAACAAAAATTCGTTTAAAATAAAAAGAAAACGATATCTCAGATATTTGACTATGAAGAATACTTGAGAAAATAAAAGAACTTCGTCGAAAGACCAATATAAACGAACATTTTGACTCTTTTTGTTTTATTGAAAAGAACGTGAAAGAAAGTTTATTTATGATTAATCTCAAACAAATATTAGGTAGAAAAAAACCGAAGTTTTATTTGCTGTCACTATTCTGATCTGATAACAATCAAAATTTATAACAATTTCTATTTTTCTCATTTGAATATGTAGAATTTCTAAATTATTTTAATGAAGAAATTTTGTACTGATGCGTGCGTGTATTCTAAATCTAATACTCAATAGACATCTGATCATAGGGAATATTTATTTTTATATATTATATTTTATATAACATAATTTATATAGAAAGTTCAATAATGCGACAGACTGCGCTAACGAATAGTTTTGAGAAAATGTGAAAAATGTGAAATGTTAAGATTAAGGATTAAAATTAGTTACCTTTTTAGTTTTATTATGTGGGGTTTTAGATGAGTAAATAACTATCATGTCCATATATATACTGTTTTCATCGCGATATTGATTATTATTTTACGCTTAAATATGAATTAGAATAATAGAACATAACTACGGACGGTTATTTTTACCGTTTGATGGAAATATGCCATATCATGATCATACTTTGTGGATGACGATTTTTCATTGTAATAAATAATGCACACTCATTTGATGACCTTGGTATATTATCATCTGCAGAAGACATTTATGCAAAAACCGAACATTTTTTTTCAATTCTACTCAATCATTTTTTTATTTTCACTGGAGTTTTTATCCTTCTTTATGTACTGGAAAGAAAGCGTTATATTTACCTGTAAATAACATGAAGTGCTTATAATTCTCAGATAAAACAGCTATCTCATTTTTAGAGTTGTAACTACAATCATGTCTAAGATAATAGCGTAAACGGTTTATACGCATTTTTTACTTTTTTCTAATTTTATACATCGCTATAGAATTATTCGATATATCATGATTCAAAGTAAATATTTTTGTGCAAAATCAATATAAAAATACCTCGAGAATGCAAAAAAAAAATTAATTTGTGCACACGGCTCTTCGATTCTAATATGTAGTGAATGGATGACGCAGAATGCACACAATCATCAGTACTAAGAGGCCAACTTATTGGAAAGCTGACAAGTAGACTCAGTAGAATAGGTTAAATGAAAAAACTACTGATAAATCACTACAGATAAATCCTCTCACGATTAGAACCTAAATGTACTGGAAAAACCTTTTTATGATCTAGTTAATTAGAGCACGGACCGTATCATTCGAATGGTGTCACTAGGAGACTGGTTTAGGACAGTGGAGAAGTTGTACATTGCTTTGAATAGACTGACGCATGGCGAGATTGCTCACTATCTGAAATACTTTTTTTCTGAGTACTGATTCCTGCAGTCAGACTTTTACAGAAACAAGACGGGTGGAGACGTGGTTGAAAAATTTCGACGAATAGTCGGTGTTTTGCTGAACCTGACATTAGTTTTTTGCGTACCCGATCATGCTGATGCATCGTGTTTTCTGTTTATTTTTAAAATTTTCGTACATAATTAAAACAAATAGTTAGTGATTTTTAGTTCTGTG